GCCAGTCATGGACCTTTAAAATGAAGAACAGGAAAGCACTGATCATTCCAGATATCACTCAAGGAGTCTGTGGACATAGCACTAATGACCCCAAGGTCATATATTAGTACAATCAACACATGGGCAAGTTATTTCACTCACGTCTATAGATGATAACCCCTAACCCCACTGCCCATTCATCAAACACATGAGAAGTGTAAAGGGGCAGACAACCTTATTCCCACTCTAGGGGAAAACCCAATGCACATATCTTACACCAAGGGAGCCCAGAGAAATTATCTTTGTACACAAAAGCTGAAATAATATAAACTTGGAAAGCAACAGGTTATGAAAACTCTAAAAATTTATGGTCCGGCTTCCAAACAATATTCTTCTTCCACCCTTCTCCCCTCCCCAAAAAACTGAGACACAAAGTCTGGGCTTTGAGAATTACAGCTACGATCCTTGCCAAAGTGACCAAATTACAATCAATGCCGAAGGCTCTTGGCACCAGGAAGTTTCAACAGACTAGTGTCTGCTGAACCCATCACAAGCCCCTCCCTCCCCGAAAGAGCTCAGGAAATAGCTGTTATCTCATTAATTCTTAAGAAATATCTCCTAAAAAGACACAAAGGGAGGAATGCTTTTATAGATCTTACAGAAGAGGAAACAAACAGTGATGATTTATAATTCAAAGCTAGACAGTGCCATCTCAAGAGGGGAGGAGTATTGGCAGGTCATGCTGATATTCAGAAAATTGTCGGACAAGAATGCAATTAGGAAGTTTATCAGAGTAGCTAGTTCCTTGACAGGAACCAGGAGAAATAATCACAGACAGGGAAGGCAGATTTCTGGCTCTTTGTCAAGATACCGACCTACCTTGACCAGGACGAAATGTAACTGAGAAGACAGTGTAAATATGGGCATATCCATGGTGGAAAGTCTTGTCTTCCAGTGCAAGGAGAGTATATAAACATGATATGAACTTCTAGATGTCTGAATGGATCATTAAGGCAATGATTTTCAACCTGTGTGCCATGACACACTGGTATGCTGTGAGGGATCTTAGGTAGGCCACCAAAATTTGTCAAGATCATTAATTAAATCATTTCTGAAAGAAGCTCAGGAAGTATATCCTTTTTTTTTTTTAACTCTTTTCTTTTTGCTCAACATTAATTTAAGTGTGCTATGGAAGTTTAACTATTGGTTCAAGTGTGCCATGATATAAAAAATGTTGAAAAATACTACATTAAGGAAAGTTGTGGAATACTTCTGTAAATACTGAAAAACAAGTATAGTTCAGAGATTGCTATTTGCAAATAGTTTCAGGAATGAACACATGGATGTTTTAAGATCGTGGCAGCTTTGGGAATCAATGATGTTCAATAATTTCTTTCTAAACTTTCACATTGCTTCATGAACTAAGAGGATACAAAGTTCCAGAGAATACTTATAATATTTTTAAGACCCTAATTTCACTCTATTTTCATAACATCTATGTTAAGGACTTGTTATTCCCAATTATATAGAGAAGAAATCAGTGTAAGAAAGTTAAACAACTTGTTATGAAGGTTATAAGAGAAAAAAAAAAGAGTACCAAATGGTGGTGGTACAATGAAAAGCGGATATGTTGAGCTCTGGTGTTCAGTCTGGTTATAGACATTTTGCAGTGGCAGAACAGTCTGGTGTCACAAATGAGAATCACACCTACCTGAGTGTGCCATACAAATGTGTCATAATTACATTGTAGCTCATAGGATGGAATCAATAGAGTCCAAGGAAAATCACAGCTCCAAATCCACATATTTCTTTGGTGGAATTATACATAAAGCATGCCTTTTGATTCAAAGATTTAGTTTCATACTGGAAGACTCCAAAGAAAGTTTTGGATGATTTTGACAATACACAAAACATTCTAAATTCACACCAGTGTAGCCACATTTTAATGATTTTAATACCAACTACTCTCATTCATAAACTTCAGATCGATCATCCTGATAAAAGTTACTATCATGAGTGTGGCAAATTGCCATCTAAATCAGGGGGAAGTACAGACACATGCTGAGGTTCCTGTACACCCTCTGAAGTGTCTGTCAGTATCAATGTCTTCCCAGTGAAAAGTGTCCACATCCCTATAAGGACCTTCATCTTTCTCTGTTTCTCATGTGCTAAACGAGGGAACTAAATCAGATGATGGGTAAGGTACTTTTTTTCTTTTAATTCTTAGACTACATGATAGAACAGGATCCCTGTCTGTTTGAGTATATACCAAATACTTGTATGTTTTCCTTCTTTAAGCCAATGCCAGTGATGGAAAATTTAAATACTATTACAGAAGTTGAAACTAGAAACTAGTATGTGAGTTCCACAGACTCTTGACAATTCTGTCCATTACTTCTGAAATAAGAACATAGAATGTGGTGAGGGATGGAGAGACATCTCAAACCAGCTGGGTTTAACAGATGTTCACAGGGATGACTCAATGCTGGCTGAGCCCCTGCAGCTAAGATTCATGCTGGGCTTTAAGTCTCCAACACACACAGTTCTTTCTTCAGTTCAATAATTATAAAAAGACCTACTTGGCAAGTTTTCTCTTGGTCTTCTCACAGGAGAACCACCGTTATTAGGCTGAAGGAGCTAGCTCCCCAATGCTGAAACTCCTCAGCTGTTCACAACCTCTAAAACTACTTTCATTTTCACTTCAAGAGAAGAGAAAACAAACCTCTGACTCGCAGAAGAGAACAAGGGATCCATGTTGATAGGGGAAAGCTAGCCACAGGCATGGAGGGAAGGTTCCCAGGAAGGTTTGGAGTATTCTGCTATTAGTTTGGCTTATTTTCTTTAAAACTTAAAACCTCAGCTCTAAGGTAGGCCACAAAGCTCACAGAAAACTCCAAGAATCATAATTACCAGTAGACCAACATTTTGGTCTCCATTTACCAAAAGAAAGTGAGCACTATACCCACGTCCATAGATTCTGTGGGGCAACAGCAATCTCCCTGTTCAGAAAGCTTAAAGAAGAGTTCAGATGAAGAGCATTTCCCCCCTCATACAGAGAACAAAATAAACACATCAAATATGAACTGCCTTTGTTAAAATCCTTTGTTGAACAGTTAATTATGAGATAAGAAATAACAGTGGCCAAATGCTTTGATGTTTTAAAAAAAATATTCGTTTACCAAAACCTAAGCGATTAATTTTATGAGTAAATAACAGGTTACCAAGCATCTAGAGAGAACAAATAGAGTAACAGAAATCTAAGAAGAAATAGAAAACACAAGTAAGCTTAGTATGATATTACACAAGAAAACGTTTAGCAGAGTTTCTGGTTAGTCAGAGAAGGCTTCCTGGAAGGGGCAAATGGAGGCTGGCTTTGGAATATAGGTATTCTCTTTTGGCCTTTCAGGTAGAAATAATAGTTTTTTGTTTCTAAAGATGGCATTTAAAAAGCCAGCCCCGTTGTAAGATCCACTTACCTCTATCTCACAGGAATCTAATTTATAGTATATGAGTTGACTTTTTGCCTGGAACGTAACTATTTTATTTTCAAAAAAAAAAAAAATTGTTCCATATTCTATATCCTCTTAAAAATTTGCTCTGATATTTAACTATTATTGGGCTATTTTTCTCATAATACAATTCCAATGAATTTGAGAAAAGACTCTGATCATAATTTCTATTCATCATTCAAGTCAATGAGAAAATTTGATTTGATTCCCGCACAACTGCATTAGACTTTTCTTAAGTTTTCTCCTGTTACTTGCAGCTGACCTCCTAATCCTAACATTGAGAAATGAACTGCTGATAAACTCCACTATATGAGTTAATTAGAAAGGATTGATGATAATAGCATTTGATATTACACTCTTCAAAATACTGCCTCAAACTCTTGTACATGTGAGTTGCACAACATCCTGGTGGGTCAGGTAGATTAAGTAATTGTTAGTCCTGTTTCACAGAAAAGGGAAAATGTGAAAAGGAAGAGAATCAGCCCACACTGACCCAGCAAATCAATAGTAGGACAAAGTACTATATCATCCCACTGAATCATCACTTAGAACAGCGGTTCTCAACCTGTGGGCTGTGACCCACAGGAACTGTATTAAAGGGCTGCAGCATTAGGAAGGTTGAAAACCACTGATTTAGGTCATGAGTAGTTATCATCACATGTTATGGCATAGGGACTGAGGCACAAACAATGGCAGGACTAGAGCTTTGGGCTTGGATCTCCCAGCCAGCGTCTGGCAGAAGCACAGTTCATCCTCCTGTCTGACTACCTGACAACCTTAAACTCATTCTCTTACAGATGGCTGGTGGCTACCAGTTTTCAAATCCTTGAGAACTTGAAACAGAAGTTGCCTTTTCAAAGAGGCCTACCCTTGAAAACTGCAGCCCCCTCCTCACTCTGCCCTATCAATACTCCTTCCCATGTACTACTACATAACTGACAAGGCATGTTTTGTGTTTGTTAACATAAGCTTCACAAGGACAGGATCTCTGGGAATTTGTCTTTTTTTTTCAGTCAACATATCCCAAATGCTCAGTCAATGCTATCCAGTAGAATTTTTTGCAATGATGTTAATGTTTTATATCTATGCTAACCAATATTATAACCACTAGCCACAGATTGGCTGGTGCAATTGAGGAACTTTATTATTTTGTTTAATTTCATTATTTAAATAGCCACATGTTACCATACTGGACAGTGCAGGCCAAGAATAATGCCTAACACAGTAAATATTACATAAGATCTATTTTTCAATATAGCCTGCAGACTATTTCCACTAATAGCAAAATTACATTTTATAATTCTTTCCACAGAATTAAACACAGATTAAATTTTGAAACTTCAGATAATATAGCCAAAACAGGAACTATTGGTTCCTTTTTGCCATCAATTATTGAAGACCTTCCCAAACATTCTCTGGAAACAGTGAAAGCAGGCCAGCAGAGCATCACAAATGCCCAGGGATGACAAAAATATATATGGAATTACAACTATTAGGATAATCACTCAGTACCTTTTTGACCTTGTTTTTTTTCTCATAGGTCTCTGAAAGAGGCTTTTTCTTCTGCTGAGTTGTGTCTTTGGAGAAAAAATACTCAAATTCACCAGGGTCCCGAATGTCAGGTTCTTCTAAGGAATCCCATAAGGTTGGTGTAGCATTTTGGCTTAAAAGAGAAAATGACATGTTAACCATAGGAATCAAAATGGAAGACAATACAAGGAAATCTTTATAGAGTTCATTTTAATTTTTAAAAAGATATATAACCCTAATAAAGCTTGAAGAGCTTTTCATGTTCTACCTTTCTGACAGTCAAAATACACCACAAAACATTGAAACGCACACACAAACATATTTCGAAAAAAAAAAATAGTCATTCGATATAATCAAGGAGAGAGCTCTAGAGAAAGCTCTTCAGGACCAGAAATCCTGGGATTGAGACTGCTAGGCCCACTCCAGCTGCTCCACCCTCAGACTGTGGCATTTCCATGGGCACAATGATAAAAATGGGCACGATGTAAAGGCTGAAGAGATAATCAACGATGAGACTTTGACAGCATGATTCTTAAGTAGATTGAAAATGGAGTACTAAGGGTAAAGAATGTCCCCCTTTTGGGCTTTTTCTACTGGTTTTAAATGTGGTTTTCAGGATTAATGCAGGTAAACTCAGTAGAGGGCCCATCATATGTGAACAGGCTGTGTTCATTTAAAAATGCTGATTTTGAGACCAGCTGATGGTAAGGGTGAGGTGCTGAGCCCAGCACAACCTGGCTGCACTCATGGCTCTGTGGGCATTGACCCGTGCTCTGGGCTCCCTGAGCCTGACACCCTGGCAATCGCTGCTCCCATCTCAAGTCTGCTCCCTGCTGCCCAAGTGATGAACAATGCCTTTCTTCAACTGCCCTCAGCCTTGATGTTGCTCCCCTGTTGCACAGACCTTGCTTCTGTGGCCCTTATTGCCAAGTTTGTGTCCTGGAGGAGTCCTACGAAGTACCATTAGACCAATGAGGAAGAGGAAGTCTGGGGGCCAAGACTACACAGGCCGCGTCCGAGTGCATGGTATGGGCGGGGCCACAAGCAACTTTATGGCATGATTGATTTTCTGTGTTTCCAGCCTGAATAGGAGACCAAGCCTGGACCCTTCGAGGAGAAGGTTGTCAGAGTCTGCAGGTCAGCAGACATAGCTCTGGTTGCTGGGGGCAGCCAGAAATGCTGGATTGTTGCCATAGAAAACATGCAGGCTGGAGATGTAACCCTGAATTCTTACCACATAGGCCACATGACTGTTGCTGCCCGGAAAGAAGATGCACATCCTCTTGGGGCCCTGCCTATGGGGATCCTTGTCAACAACGTGGAAAATGAGCCAGGTCAGGGGCCCAGTATATCTGAGCTACAGGGACATGTAGTGTGCTGCTTCAGAAGGTAAATGAGACCCCCCATTATCCAGTCACCTTCTAAGAGGCAGATGCAGGAGCTGGAAACTTGCATAGCAATAGTCAGCCAAGTAGCCAACGTTGATCATAACAAACAGGTCATAGGAAAGGCGGGTCACAACCGCTGGGTAGGCAAGAAGCCTAACAACGGGCTATGGCATTGCAAGGGGGGCTGGGCTGGCCGAAAGATTTGGCCACTGTCCCCTGTGAAGTGTTATGTGAAGTTGCCCTCTGCTGTTGCCCAAAGCAGATATTCCTGAACTCTAATAAAATGGTCTCCCATTTAAAAAAATAATGATTTCTAATATCTCAGCCCCCTAAATAATAATATTAACAAAAAACTCCTCCATTATACCCTCACAGGGAATTAACTAAAGCAGCCCTAGGAAAACTGTGTTCTGGTTTGTATTCTAGAAACAGGGGTACCCTAGTTTTGAAGCAAAGAAAAGCTGTTGAAAAACAGGTACAACAGAACAGCCTCTGAGCTGAGTTGGATGGGCCACTGTCCATGTTCCCCTCAGAACACATTTTTCTCCCAATGTTTACTTTCCTAACTCCCATAGCCAGGAAGAGAACAAGTCTCATCCATATATTTATTGTTTTTCAAACATATGTAAATCTATAACCTATAACATCTAAAGGTGTAGCTATACCTTTGTTTCAATATATATTTTTTTCAGTCAATGAAAATTAAAAAGACAACTAGTATGACATGGGAAAGTCCACCTTGCTCTTTTTATAGTATAAGGCGATTTTCATATTTAAAACAGTGGGCAACATGGTGCGTTCACATCATGCAACAGATCTACCCTTCCTATGAAAGAGGACATTTTACCTCTGGCTACATTCACCTCTTCTCCCTTCTACTGTTTGTTGTTTTTTTTTTATTATAATTTTTCTATTAATTGAGCCATTTAATAGTATATGTTGGCATATATAAAGTATAACAATATAATGAACATCTGGGAAACCATCACCAAGTCTGAGGGGGCTAGAAGATTTCTAAAGATGAACATCCAGCTGTGTGTTCCTTCCTATAGCCATGCCCCTCTGCTACTCACTCAAATTTGAAACACAAAGCCCTGAGGAAGGGAAACATAGCCAGGGAATTTTGGAGCATGCAGCAAGTTAGGGTACTGGTCTGGGCCTCAGGGAGGTTCTGGGCAGCTAAAGAGAAGGGCCTAGAGGAAGGTGCTCCAGGGTGTCAGGAAGACTGCTCAGACCCACCCCTCATTCTGCACCTGCTTGGCCCCAGCTACATGGACTCTGAGCTCAGGCTAGTGTGACTAATACTGTAATTCACTCACATGCTGGAGTAGATTGGCTTTGGGAGTCAAGTTGAGCACTTCATCACCATTTGCAACATTATTTTTATGGGAAAGGCGTTTCCAGTACTGAGTAAGAGAACTGTAGAATATCACCTCTGTCAGTGATTTGGGAGTAAGCGGCATTTGGCAGATCAATAATAAAACCCTACTTACAATGGATGACCTGCCATAATGGTCAACTGTTTTCTGACCAATGAACATACATTCTAGGACAAAAGAGAGAAAAGAGGGGAGGGAGCAGTAGGGGAGAGAGAGAAAGGGAGAGAGAAAGGGAGAGAGGAAAAAAAAGGTGAAACTTACTAGGAAGCTGAAAAGGTAGTTAGAAGAGGATTTCATTTTCTTTAACTAAATGTCTCTTTCCTATTCTGAAATCAGAAAACAGACACTGAAGGTGGCAAACGGTAAAAGAAAAAAACAAATCAGTTCCTGCTAGTGGAGAAAAGTGAGCTAAGGATATGGGAAACATGTACATATAAAAGTTGAAGATTCATATTTTGCTCCTGGTTCCCAAACTAAAACCAAAATTTATCATGCACACATTACACAAAGTGCCCAGCCCTCTGGTTATACAAAATATTAAAATACCATGTCACCTCCTTTAAAAGAACATACTCCAAACTTTTTTACATCCCCTCCCCCCATAAATGAATACTGCATAAACTCTGTAGACCATTTGCATTGAAAAGAAATTGTCACACTCAGAGCTGTAAAAATTTTGAGGGATCCATAATAAAAGAGACGGAATGTGTGCTGCTGACAGAACATGGCCACACTCGAGTCTTAAGACATCAGAGAAGCAGCCCCGTTTCCTGGTTCAAGCTCAAGGTCCACACATTCACCAAGCAGAGCTCTAGTGATGTCCCATTATTCTACTTTTCATTTTTCTCAAAAGTGAAACCTTAGATTCATGGTGAAACCAATAAGAGCTTGAATATTCAATTGTCTTCCATCTCAAAAGGAGAAAAGAAAATCCAGACAATGTTAATCCCCTGCTTGCCTTTTATCCCACCTTGAATAGTAAGCGTATTTCCCAGTAGAATGGTTTTATGGCTCCCATGCTCTGGCACAGGATCCATTGCTCATGAACTCTCTTGGGGAATGAAGGGACGGCAAAGCTCGTAAGACACAGGTGTGGAACAGCTCTGCACTGTCAGAACACACTATTCCAGAGCCAGCAGGTGGGATTTATCACCCTGGAATAACTGCAAACTAATTTGAGAACACCAATAAAGAGATATGACTCAAAATAAATATTCCAGGAAATTACTTCTTAAGAAATTCTTTCTTAGGAAATATCTGAGCCTTGATTGGGAAAGGGGGAATTACTAGTACCTTAGGTAATAGAAGAAGCTATTACATGATCATCTCATTTTTTTAACCATTCATGTGGGAAATTATAAAACATAATTAAATTTTGAAAAAGTATCAGGATATTCTACAAATAAATTCTTGGCCTTAATTTTTGGTGAAAAGAAAGGGTATGATATGAAGTACATAGTCAACTTGGTTCACCAAACAGTTAGTTTTAAGGTATTCCTATTCCTCCTATAGTGATTTCCCATTGATTGATTGACTGAATGACTAACTGATTCATTCATTCATTCATTCAGTTTTAGAGACAGGATTTTGCACTGCGGTCCCAGCTAGTGGCATCATCACAGCTCACTACAACCTCAAACTCCTGGGCTCAAGAGATCCCACTTACTCAGTTTCCTGGTATACACCACCATACCACGCTAATTTTTTAATTTTTTATGGAGATAGAGTCTCACTAAGTTGTTCAGGCTGGTCTTTAACTTTTAGGCTCAAGCAATCTTCCTGCCTTGGCTTCCCAAAGAGCTGGGATCACAGTGTCTGGCCTTAGTTGTTTTATAAATGTAAAATTGTTATTTTTGGTATCCTGCCTTCCCTAAGCAAAATGTTATATAAACTGAAGAATTCATTACCATATTTTGATTTGGGTGATACATTTTTTTTTTTTTTTGAGACAGAGCCTCACTCTGTCACCCTGGGTAGATTGCTGTGGTGTCATAGCTCATAGCAACCTCAAACTCTTGGGCTCAAGCAATCTTCTTGCCTCAGCCTCCCAAGCAGCTGGGACTATAAGCATGCACCACCATGCCTTGCTAATTTTCCTGTTTTTCTTTTTTTAGTAGAGATGGGTCTTGTTCTTGCTCAGTCTGTTCTCTTATTTCTGAGCTCAGGCAATCCACTCGCCTCAGCCTTCCAGAGTACTAGGATTATAGGCATAAGCCACTGAGTGCAGCCTGGGTGACACATTTAAAAATGTGTTCTATATTTACTGCTTTTTGCAAGCCACCTTCAAACTATAAACTGGTCTGGAAACAACATTTCTTTCATTGCCCTACTGACAGGTTCAAAAAAGGAGGCAGAAGAAATCAAACTCAAATCTGTTTGAATGGAAGTGTCCAAATGACCATAAGCAAGCTGACTTACAAACCCAGCTTAACAACCTTTACAAGTGGAAGATGCTTTTTAGCTATTCACATACTGGGGCTTCTCTGAAGGGCAGCAGATACAAAGAAAGATTTGAGAGCATTTAGCAGTTGGAGGAACCACAGTTCAAACAGACAGAGGCATGTTAAGATTCCCTTCTGATTCAAAGAATTCAATCATGTCTCTTCCTTTTAATAAAAAATACACATATATGTTAAATATCCAGATCACAGGATTGATAAAACCATTTAAAACCAAGATATTGAATCATAAAAAAAATTCTAGGCTGGGCATGGTGCTGCGCAGCTATATTCTTAGTACTCTCAGAGGCCAAGGCACATAGATTGCCTGAGCTCAGAAGTTTGAGAACTATCTAAGCAAGAATGGGACCCTGATTCTAAAAATAGCTGGGCATTGTGGTGGGCAGCTGTAGCCACAGCGACTTGGGAGGCTGAGGCAAAAAGATTGGTTGCACCCCAGAATTTGAGGTTGCTGTGAGCTGTGATGTCACTGCACTCTAATGAGGATGACAGAGAGAGAGACTCTGTCTCAAAATAAACAGATAAAAGATATTCTATAAATCCTCAGTGACTGTACAATAGAGTCAAGTTCAATTTCATTGTGATTGCTCATTAATTGCAGTGACAGTGGAGAACGTCCTAGCTTAGGCTTGGACTCTAGTCTACAAAATAGAACATGATTCTTCCCAGACATCCCAACCTCCTTTATCCAAAGTAGTCGCTGGATAACGTTTGATAATGGGGGCCAGCCACACTATGGAGACGCTCAACTGGTAAAGACAAGACATCACCTGGGAAAAATCCTGGGGGTTCCCAAGCTGAGACTGGATTAGGGGAGCTCTTACCTCTTATCACTTATCTGTATTCGAGTCCAGTATAAAGGCTTCATGGGACAACTGGGCTCAATGGCTGGTTTCCGAGGACCCTGGCTGGAAGAAGAGCTGAGGCCGAAGTAGAGTCCAGGAGGGGGTGGGGGTGCAAGTCCTGGGGGTGCTGGGGCAGGAGGAGGTCCCCCGGGGCAGAGCGGAGCCTGGGAGTTAGGAAGTGGTGGAGGCGGGGGCGGAGGTCCTGGGGGTAGAGGTGGTGGCGGTGGAGGCGGTGGCGGAGGTGGCCCAGCGCTCACAGGTGGTGCTGGGGGTGCTGGCGACAAAGATCCAAGTCCAGGCGGGAGAGGAGGAGGCGGAGGGATGGCGGCTGGTAGAGGTGGCGCAGGAGGGGGAGGTGATGCCTTCTGCTGACTTGACGTCGTGCCTTCCACAGACTGAAGCGACGTGTGGATGTCTTTGCTTTCATTTGGAGGAGAAAGTTGGCTTAATGAGGTGATATTCAGCTTTTTGGGTACTATGTGGTTACTTCTGGTTGTTTTGCTTTCACCCTCACAGGGCTTGAGGAAGGTCTCTCTGTCTGTCTGGATGCACACGTTTCTGTAGGTCTTTGGAGGACAGTCATCACTGGTGGAGATGCACGCGTCTCTCCTCTCCTCACAGCCCCGCCAGCGGTCCTCTAACTCGCGTTTGAGATTTTCAATGGTTTCTTCTAGTCTCGCTGTTACCACTGCATGCTCTCCCCGGATGTGAAATGCCTGAAGTTCAAACTGGGCCTATAAAAAAAAAAGAAAAGAAAAGAAAAGAAAAGAAAAGAAAGAAAGAAAATCAGTTAGAAAGAAAGTAATGAGTTTATTAAAAAAAAAAAAGTCAGAAATAAAAATTTCAATACCACCAGCATGTCACCACAGCACTGCCCACATAAATGTGGAGAAATTCACACCCACAAGGGTATAAATTTCATTTGATGAATTTTTCAAGGACCTACACAGTTGGGAGTTAAAGTGTAGTTTCATATAATCTGAGCTCACAAGGGGTAACTATCATGGATAAAGGCTTAATGTAAATCTATTACCTAAGAACTTTTACCAGGTTTTAATACCAAATGCAAACCACAACTTTTAATAAAGCTACAGACATGCTTGAATACAGAGGGTGCCAAGAAATATACACACATTTTAAGAAAGGAAAAATGTGTATTGGAATTACAATACTCAAGTCACGTTTGGCTTCTCTCATTACAAGAAATACGAGACTCAACATGCAAGATAACAAATGTTATGGGTATATACTGAGTATTACAATTGTGATAGGTTTTTTTTCCCTTTCTTAAAATGTATATACATGTTTTGGCACCCTCTGTAAATGTTTTATAACTTTTGGGTTTGGCTTAGAAAAAGAAAACTAAACAAACAAAACAAAAAATAGATGCGGCGATCCTTCTGGCTTGAAGCCGCTATTTTCACATCAGTATTTTAAGATGATACGGTGGAAACAACAGGCAAAAGGAGGTGCAATGATGAGTACTTTTTAAAAGTTTCCATCTCAAAGCTGCTCAAAATCAATATTTGTGTCTGTTCCACAACATAGTAATAAAGCAGCAATACAAATGCATAAATAATGAGGATATTGAAATACGTTATTTTCTTCTACTTACAGTTTTTTAAACTATTAATATATTTACAAGACAGTAGCGTTTAAAGTATTTGCTGCCTCCGTTATTTTAATGCCTTGAGTCCATGGTTCGCACTTGTTAGCACAGAGCTAATGTACTTTCAATCATGGCCCAATTCCCAGAGTTCAAAGCCATTTAGCCTGTTACAATTAATTGGGAAGCAATCAAATTTAGAATTTTATTTGAGGTTCCAAATCTAATGTCATAGTAATTCAATATTTTTGATGAATTTCTGCCTCCCTCACCAGATTATAAACTCCACAGGATGAAATCAGTGACAGTATTATCTCTTTTGCTGTATCCCAGCAACTAGCACAACTAATACACAGCATTGAAGGGATACATGGACAGAAACCATTGTGGTGGTTATATTCACTGACATTATCCCAGGAGGCGAAGCAAGATTTTCTTTACTATAATTTCAGCCCACAAATGTCTGGAATACCTAAATACATACAAGGGCAGATCTCTCTTGCACTAGATATGTAAAGAAATATTTTGAATGGCCTAGTCAGGCAAGGTAGAGACATGAAAAGCTTCTCTGCCTTCATTGTGGTAACTTTTAACTACTTTTTAGAAGGTTCACCTTTTCCCTAAAAACTTCTCATGGGGGTCAGGTGTGGTGGCTCACATCTGTAATCCTACCTCTCTGGCAGGCTGAGGCAGGAGGATTGTTTGAGCTCAGGAGTTTGAGACTAGCCTAAGCAAGAGCAAGACCTGTCTCTAACTAAAAATAGGAAAAAAGAAAAGAGCTATCATTGTGGTGAGCACCTACAGTCCCATTTACTTAGGTTCAGGCTAAAGCATCCCTAGATTTCAAGACCTTGAGACTAGCCTGAGAAAGCTAGACCCTGCCTCTACTAAAAATAAAATAAATAAAAATATTAGGTGGGCATCCTGGCCAGCACTTGTAATTCCAGTTATGGGGGCGGCTGAGGCAGGAAGATCACTTGAGCTCAGGAGCATGAGGTTTCAATGAGCTAGGATGATACCAAGGCACTCTAGCGTGGCAACAGAGTGAGAGTCTGTCTCAAAACAAAACAATACAAAACAAAAAATTAAAAAAGAAAAATAAACCCCTCACTGGGATAGCCCAATGGGACAGTTGGAACACTTGAACAGTTTGTTTTTAATTTTGTTAGCTATAAGCACAACTGCTCAAGGACACTAGATGGCCTGAATCCTATAAATAGCCACGTGAACCCCTGCCAGATGCCAGAGGAAGACTAGACCTGTGCAAAGCCAGTGCAGACAAGGACAGACCACCTCCAGTTACTATGGCTCATTAATGTAGCATTATAATATGGAAAACCCTCCCCTAAGAAAATAAATTGGTGTTTTCTGTACATGAGATATATGAAAAAGCACATATGTGAACTCCATCTGTGAGTCTGAAACTCCACCCTGTACAAGCTCACAACCTCCTCCACCTGGTACCTGACTCCTTAAAGCTCCCACACCTCCCTTTGCTCAGGGAAAGGTGCCTTTGAGCCTAAGCTCCCTTTTTCCATTCTTCGGTCCTTGAATTAAGATCTGAATGACTTACCAATTGGATGTTCTTTTTTTGAGGCCAACATAAAGGAAGGCAAGAACACAGTTTTCCAGTAATGGAAACTCTTCCAGTAATGGAAACCCTTAAATAAACAGCCAAGATCAGTAGAACTTAAAGGCAGTTTGGCCAAGGCTCATCTTCTCACATGTGGACATGGCCACTCGAGCCAACTCTGAAGGAAGGGGCTAGTTCAGAGGACTATCTATTTCTTGTATCCACAGAAGTTAAGTGCCTGAGCTTGGATTCATATCACCTGTTTCATCTAGTACCAAGCAAGGTTAACAGTGAGTTATCACTGGGGCTTTTAGAAAAATGACAGGAGGCATTATGCCTGAAACACAGTAAGTTCTGGACAAATGTTGCTGTTAGTTCCTGTTACCAATGGTAATATTATTAGCACATTCCTAATTATTCTCATACTTTTAATGATGTCACCTTAGGAAAAGCTCAAGCCATTGGAGTAAGCAAAGTAGTACAAATACAAAAGTTTTATCTAGCTTTTTCTGAGTTCTACCACAAGGTAAATAAAAGTAATTTCAAGCTCCATTCAACTATCTGGACAAGACGATCTCTGTTGCATCCCACCCATCTCCATTCCTTTCTTTCCTATCTACTTCCATCTACCTGATTTCCATTCAGGACCAACATTTGAATTTCATTTTAATGACCAGCTCAGTTGTGTCACAAAAAACACACTCTTGGTCTTTGTTCCCAACTATAACTTCTTCCAAGAAAGTTAAGAGTCAGATAATATTGATGAGACAATAATTTAACTCAACCTTCAAGTTCTTAATGATATGTAATTGCTGCAAAGGCATATTCTCACAGAGAAATCGCCCCTTTATTAGACAACTGACCTGTCTCTACACCAAAGACCCCAGCGAGAACCTCTCATCCTTTGTACCTCTCAACCATGATCTTTTAAATCTGAGGGTGATGTGTATGCCTACGCATTGTTTTGGTAGCTCTAACTTAATGCATTTATTAGTGTAGTGTGTGGAACACCCTTTGGGCAGGTTTTTTAACCTCTCTGCCCTTTAGTTTTCTTATAAGCAAAATAGGTCTAAAACCAGAGTGCACTTCACAGAGCAGTTATCAGAGAGAGGTGAAACAATACTGCATATATGTAAAACAAAATTGAGAAGAGTGTTTAGGATGTAGTTAAATTTGCTGTCATTATCTGCCTCTGCCACTGGCCTGGCAGATCAGAGCTCGTTGGACACATCAGCTTGCTCTGGACACTCAGCAGGTATCCTGCACTGTACCCCGTCTATGCTGCTCTATGCTTCTAAAGCAAACATAAAGCTATCAAAAACCCATCTTTAATTCCCTCCAGCTGCTATGCTCTTCCTCACCCCTCTCCCCTTTTCCTTCACAGCAGAGCTTTCTGGGGGAAAAAAAATAATACTCAACTCAGGCTTTATCTATTTCCTCATCCATTCACTTTTCACCCAATTACAACCGGTCTCCACACTCTCCCTTACTGAAACTCTGCGATTTGATTGTTATATTCAGTCAGCACTTTCCCGTGATTTTGCCCTGTCTGCTAAATGTGGCAGAGTTGACTGCAGAGCGTGCCTTGAAATTCCCGTGGCTTCCCTCGCCCCTCCCTTTCCCTCTACTTCTCTATTCTCTCTAGTCAACACAGACTCCACTGCCGTCATTCACCCTCACATGTTGTGCTCCGAGCATCTGCCTTGCCATTTTTCCCTTCTCTCACAACACAGTCTTTCCAGGTGGTTTCATGTACTAATATGGTAAATGACACTCATTCACTATAGGTTGTTGCCTTCTGCACCGTACCTTAAGACTGTAATTGCAACTATCCTTGGCATTAATCCACCGGCATCTCAAACCAACCACTTCCGGTTCCACACATTCACAACTGAACTCATTGCTGCCAACCCCAGTTGGCTCCTGCTCTTAAATTCTTCCTTGCATCTTCTCCTACTGCCCTTCCTCTGCTCCCTCCCTCTCTGCCAAGGTAAGGAGGAGATTACCAGGTACAGATTCCACGAATGGGTTCCTCACATACTGCATTCACTGACTGGGGAACGTCCGTATAGGAGGGGGAACAATGCATCTCCACGTACTCCACACCACTGTGCCAAGATTACAGTAAGAAATCCTTCCACATCACTAACGTTTAGATATCTCCAGCCTTCCTCCCTGAAAAAAAAATCTTACCTTGGCCTTTCCCTTGTCTTTGTCTCTCTCTCTTGATCATTCCAGTTTTGTCTTGGTTGTGTTCATGAGCATGACAGAGTACTCAAAGTGATTAAAGTAATGAACACCTCATTCATTCTCTATCTTTCCATAGTTTATCAATTATTTCAAATAGTGTCCAGCTCTGTTGCAAAGGAAGCACCTCAAGTTCGTGCGTACCAGGAATTTGGCATTTGGGAAACGAGTTTGTAATTGAGTTTTCCCTGGATTTCTTGTTAATTACTACTCCCATGAAGTACATGGAAATTACGTGCTGTTTTCCTCCTTTATCCACATTCATAGCTAGAAGAACTGGCAATGATTTGGTGATTCTAACAGAGAGT